TCTGTGAGTTTTGTTACAACGTAAGCTATCGCACTGATGAAAATTAAGGAGCCGATAAAGGCGACCCAGCCATGAGCAATATGATAAGGAGGTACAAATGCGAATAGTAGTCTCCATGGAGCAAGAATTAACTGCCACAAAATTCTGGCTAGTCGCAAATAGATGTTCTTCAGTTTTCTTGATTCCGTACTTTCTAACTGTTGAAGAAAAAAGGAAGTTACCACAAACTACGCCTATGTTGATACAGATAATTAAACATATGCAGTGTAGAACACAACACCTTGACTGCGTCCACAAACTGTTGTCTCCAAATTGCAAACACATGATGGTCTTGTGATATCATAGTCTCTTGGAAATCCTTGTTTGAGGATTCGGGAGTTTCATCAATTCCAGGAACTTTTTGATACTTTGGACCTGCAAAAGAGAGATCCTCATATTGGAAATGTTGAGTTTAAAGTTGCCTTGTGAGTTGCTGAAATGTTGAGTTTAGTACCTAAACCACTTTCTGAATGTATGGAAAAAATGTCAACAACATTCTTGTTTTCATCTTCACCAACGTCAAGTATATTGGAGCACTCGTTGCAAGGATAAGTATCATGCTTGCCCGTAACAACCTCAGCTGGCACCCAATCCTCTGGTCTCTCACTTCTTGGGCTTAGGAAATACAACACGAAATGAAGGCAGAATACAGAGAACGTTAAACCAGTTATTTTTTTCAATAGCAGCCAAGAAAAATCAGAAAGACAACAAAGATCTCAAATGCTAAAGATTTAAACATACAAAGGAAGAGAAAAGTAGGGCCAACGCTTGTCTTGAGCATAAGCGTGTATCAGCAGAAATGCATATTGCAGTACTGTCAATAAGGCCTCCCATAGTGTAATCACGTTCGGTGTCCACACCTGCAGCGTTAAGTAAAAACATTTCAATACAGAGTTCTGAATACATGTCAGTCATAAATCAAAATGTTTTCATAGACAAAATGAAAGAAAAAACATGATTAACATACAAAGATTCCTTTAAATTACCTCTAAAATTATGTATAGCCAAATATAGGCCCAAAAAGACCAAAAGAGCTCAACTAGCCAGACTCCTATATCAGCTATCTTTTTCAGCTCTCCAGCTTTAGGAACGACAACACATACAGCATGGATGGGGAAAAGGTCGAATGCAGCAGAACCGACTAGTGTTCCAGGACCCAAACCTATAAATCACGTATGAAAAACTGTGGTAGAGGATAATGTTTGTAACCAGCCTTACGTTGGAGGAAAAGGAAAACTTGAGAAATCATTGCAGGAACACGCAATAGAAACAAAAAACATAGTTCAGTAATTGTCCTTATGACCATTTTAGTGCATCCTTCACTGACTCTAACCACAAGGAAGATTTTGGAGATCATGTTCATCAGAAAGGGATGAAATGTGCTTCCCTTTTCTCTTCTTACGTCTATGAAACTGAACAAGAATAACAAACCATGAACTTCCCTCAACAGAACTCTATTCTACTCAACTCATAAGTTAGTATCCTACCTACTACCAGAAAACTCACGCTTCGTCCAGTGTATACGCGTATATGTGTAACTCAACGTTCTGACAATATAACATGTTCAAAGTAACCATGATTAGCAATACATAAACAGTGGCATGAAAATTCATGCAACAACGAAAAGAGTATACAATCCATCGGGGAAAAAAGTTAAAATATGAACCATGAAGCGAAAATCTCAAAGTCAGCAATGCGATTAATAACTCAGCAAGTTTTGGAAAACAAACCTCCGGCATAGAGGTTCCCAAGGTTTCTTATAGCATCAATCGTGGCCAATGATATTTGAGGAAAGCTAGTCCCAAAGGCCAGCAGGCTAATGTCTGCAATTGTGAAGTTCCACACTTTCTCATACCTAATAACTTCAGCACCAGTGCAAGGATCGATGTCTACCACCTTCCGCGAGTGGCTCACAACACTCTCCATAGACCGGAAAAAGCGAGCAGTTATAGCAGAAAGCCCAAGGAAACAGTACGCAAGACCAAGAAAGTATAAGAAAGTCCGAAAACCAGCTCCGAGGCCTGTTTCACCCTGGAAAATCAAGTAGCTTTCGCAATTTTCTCGCGCAACTATACTCGAAATTCCAGACATGGTCTGTGTTGTTTGGTCAAATTGCTTGCAAGTTCAGAAACTACAGAGCAGTGAAGTAAGAAAACCTAATCATCAGAAAAAGAAAAGAAAAAAAAATTGGTGCACATCAGATACTGTTAAGCAGCTGCCATCTGAGCAATTCAGCTCTTAATACACAAAAATCAACATTGCTTCACTTTACCATCTCAACAAGTACAACTTACATGACACGGGTACATCACGCCAAGATTACATGTACCTGTACCACCTAAGTCCTCCGTTACAACAGAAGAACAAGTTTTAAATTGAATTCCGCAACATAAATCTCAATGCAATTTTCCCAGAAAACCCAACATTACCACGAATTTAAAATCCATGAGATATCATCGAACGGCGAAAAGTAAGAAACTTTAGCTATGGAATCAAACATACAACTGAATCTCACAAAACGGGTTCGATTACAAAAACAAAATTAAAGCTAAATTAACAAGGAAAAGAATAAATACATGTACGGACGAACCTGAGGAGCATACGTAAAATCGGATCGCAGGAGGCTTCTCGGCGCCGCCGCAACCGACGGCCCAAGCTCCTGCGGCGAGTGGCAGCGTGCGAATCCAAATCAAAAGTAGGAGATTTGCGATAGGAAATGAATGGTGTCACGAGGGATATCAATGTCTCAATTCGCAAATCGGCGGAAAGCTTTGGGAATCCGTGAAATGAACACATATTTTTACTGTTGACCTTTTTTGTTATTTTATGTTTTTGTCGGAGTCGGAAAACGAAAACGTGCATGGTTTTGGGCCCAACCTTTCCCCATTAATCAAGTGATTAAGAATTTATAACTTTCCCAATTGGTGTTATTCGCTTTACTTTGTCGACGTCCGGCCTCAACATTTTTCAGATGATGGGTATATGGGATAGTACATTATACGTTATTATGTAAATAGTGGAATATGTGTGCTATAAAAATTAATAACTTAAAAAATAAAATTTCTCACCATTCTTATTAAAACACATATTATACCACTTGTATTTCTGTCGTAACTAAAAATTTCTCCTCAACCACGTGTATTTGTGATTTGTCGTGTTGCATTTTTCAGATGCATCATGTGGAAAAAGGCAGGAAAGAATCAGGTCAAGAGTTGCGACACCAAACATGTCTTTTTATTCTTTCTTTTTTAGGTTTCATTATTAGCTGAAATCATGGTAAGACAAGCTCGTTTTGATATACTATTAAAATGATTGAAAATATTTTTGGTGAAAATATTTTTAAAACCAATTTTTAGTAAAGATGTAAGTAAATCTTGAAAAAACACTTAAAGTGATTTTTGTAAGAAGCACCAGTATGTACTTATGTGCTTCTTTCAAGAAATACTTTAAATGGTTTTGGTGTTATTTGCTTGGGTTTATTCTGTTGACGTCTGGCCTCAACCATGTGTACTTGTGATTTGTGTTGTTTTGCATTTTTCAGATGCATCAACGTAGAAAAAGGCAGGCAAGAATCAGGTCAAAGTGTTGCGGCACCAAAGATGTATTTTTCTTCTTCTTTTTTTGTTTCATTATTAGCTGAAATTATGGTAATGTAGTTATTTTAAAGGAAAACTAATGAAAATAACTTGAAAGCTTTGAGTTTTAATCAAAATGATAAAAATGTGTTGTAAGTGAATAGTACCAGAAGTGACTTTTTAGAATAAAAATGTTCATTTCGTTAAAAGTGAACAATATAAAGAGTGTTTCGTTAAAACTCTCTTATTTTAATCTGATATTTTTGAGCGATTACTAATTTAATGTAATCAGCCGAACTGAAATTTAAACTTACATGATGCGGTGGACACACAATCCTAATCGATCTAATTGATTATGTTTAGGTCAACATCAAGATTATATAGGGAAATTTAGAAAAATAACCAAAATTTAAACTCCATATAGAATTATAGCCAACCTTTAAAATTTATGATAATTATAACCAAAAGTTGATACGAAAGTACTAATATTCCCTTAATGACTATAACTTTTTACAAAACAAATCCCAAGACTCTCAAAACCCAAATGATTTTGCTGCTCTACGCTTCCCGATCTTCAATGTTTTCCTTCACACTTGATTCTGATTGTTCTTGTTTTTCAGCACAAAATTTAGTCCAAAAAATAGAAGGAAAGAGTTGGAGTTTTGTAAATGTGGGTTCTTGGGTGAAGCGAATGTGGTTCAATTGATTGAAGGTTTCCTCATTTGATTGAAACTTCTTATGCATATTTGAATCTTGGTTGCTGAGTTCGGAAGAAGCGTGTGATTTGAGTGATTTTCTGGTCTATAGAAGGGAAAGAAGAATAGAGATTATATTCACACATCCCAAATTACTTCCCTCATAGGCTCACACCATTTTAATTTTTTATTATTATTTTTTTTTTTATCAAGAGTTAGTAGTGTGTAGAGTATTTAAAAAGTAAAAGAGTATGGGACAAGTAATTTGGATCGTGTGAATATAATCTCTTAAGAAGAAAAAGGAGTGAACCTTAGAGTGGAAAACAAAGGATTGAAATTTAGCTATCCCTCAAGAGCAAAACCCGCTTCTCCTCCATCGCCTTCGCAGCCCAGACCTTGTACTGGGGTGGAGAGGACAACATGCTCACCATTGACGGAGCGAGAGCAACGAGGAAAACGGGTCTTTGAGGAGAGAGAGAGAGAGAGAGAGAGATTGGAGAGTGAGATAATCAAACTTGGGGTCTCGGATTCATGATTGAATAACGCCAATTTCAGTCTCTCATGAGTTTAATTAACAACTAGATAAGAAAAGTCCAACTCAATCCCTACAATTAACGACATGAAGTTCAATGAAGGTGAAAACTTTCACAGATCTTGTACATAAAACACCGTAGATAAATTCAATCCGCCATAACCAAATTCCTCGAGGAAATATGTATTGCACCAGGCACATAGATAATGTAACAACCAGATTCTAAATTTCAAAACAAAGTCTTCAAAGAAGCTTAATTTCAGAGGAAGTATCAATCATGAAACAAGCTCAAACAGAAGTTGATAGATAAGACAGGTTAAAAGCAAAAGACGGTCTATAGAACAACTAAGCTCAACCGGAAATGCCACAAAACAGGAGGCAAAGTATTTAGTCTTCCTCCTCACCCTCGTTCTCAGCAATGTTGAAGTATCTCAATTCATAAACATTGCGGTCCTTGTTGGATGCAATCACGCGAAGCCAATCCCTCACGTTGTGCTTCTTCAAGTACTTCTTCGTCAAGTATTTAAGATACCTGATAAACGAGCGATACAAAGGTTACTCACAAAAGAAAACAGAGAAGACAATTACTGCTCAACAATCAACATAAGAGTATCCATTTTTCTAACTGAAACCGTTACCAGTCCAGATATAAGACTTTCACACACTTTAAGCTGAACTTCAATTTACATTCATAGAAATGCAACAAACCAAAAAAATACAATTGAAAAGAAATCTAAAATTCCAAGATATGGAGAAAATAAGCTATTGCGAATTCTCCTCCCGGCATCAAAGATTTCCAACCACCGAAAAAATATCATTTTACACAGAGTTAATTAGTTACAAACATCTTAGGTTCGATTCTCGCCAAACGCGAATTTGAACCACATTATTGCTAGCCCATTGTGAGGCTAAGCCCACTCCCTCCCCTTAGTGTAGATAATATCGATTGTTAAAAAAAAAAAAAATTAGTTACAAACAAGTGAGCACCTGCATCAATTAGCCTAACATATGCAAATTATCAAGTTCCAAATTGCAACTAATACTAATCAAGGTGCGAGAAATTTAATTATTTTACGTTCGGCCTCAATGTACACTCATGTAAAATGCAATAATCCAAAACCTTGACTAATTCAAAAGATTAAAACTTCAAATTGAAGAACAAACCAACGCATTATCAAATATTTGCTCAAAAATATACAAATAAAAAACATATTCCACAAATAATTACAAGCAAATGAGGTTTAAATCATTGGGTTTTAATCAAAATTCAGACCTGCAAATGGGTATAAAGCAAAATGGTATTTGCAAACAAATAAATAAAATAAGGTAAGAGTGAATGTTGGTACCTTTTGGAAAAGTTGGAGTCGGAGGTGACGGTGATCTTGTTCTTCTCGCGGGAGACGGTGACGGAGTCGCCGAGAGCGCCGGCCTTACCGCCGACCTTGATGCGCTCCTGGAGGAACTTCTCCAGTGAGGCGATGTCCATGATCTTATCCTCCACCGGCTTCGCGCAGTCTATCGTGAACGAGGCTCCCTTCTTCTTCCCTCCCTTCGTCCCTGCTGCCGCCCCACGACTCATCTTTGCTTCTCTCTCTCTCTCTCTCTCTCTCTCTCTCTGCGTGTGGGAGCTGCGTATGTTAGGGTTAGCCCTCAGTAGAATAAAAGGTGCTAGGGTTTTGGATTCGCGGGTTTTTAATTTATCTTTCAGGTACGGGCCCAAAGCCCGAGTATAAGACTTAACTACAAACACGTCTGGGCCTGTCTACCCCGGCCCAATCATCTCATAAGCCCGGATGGGTTTAACGCTGTCGTATTAGTGGTTTCTCTTCCCACGTTTCGTTTCGCCTCGGATCGGTTACGATGAGTCAAGGGTCCACGGCGTCGTTTCGGCACCTGAGTAACGGAGTATTGCTTGGGAAGGCGGGAGCGGAACTGATAGATGGAGGGAGAGCCGTACGACGTCGTGCCCTGCTCCTCCGTCGCCGTCGATTCCATCCTCCGCATCGGAACGGTAAACCCAACCCCTTCCGAACTCAAGTGGTAAACAATCTACTCTAATTTCTATTTCTCCCAAGTCCTTCCTTCTAAAATACCATTAATTTCAGGCCGGTGCAATTTGGGGCCTATGTTCCGGTCCCCACGATGCTCGTAAACAAGGTAAAGTACCGAACTTTTCAATTGTTCTTGGCTCAAAAATGGAAAATTAATTTTGGGTTTTTTACACTGTATCTTTTTGCCGCGGATTTAGGCTTGACTGGAGCAGCTCAGGCGGCTTTTGTGGTACAGATTCTTTCGTGAAAAAATATGTTGTCTTTTGTGTTGTTAGTAAAAGCTTTGAGTTATACGCTTTCTTTGGTTCCGTGAGCAGGCGAGGTCGGCTGGAGCGTGTGGAGTGCAATATGGTAAAGCTCAGATGCATAAATCCTGCTGCTTGTTTTTGTTTTCTGTTTGGATTGTTCTGAGCGGCATTGGGTTGCAGGACTCGTTGCTGGGATATGTACTGTTACTCATTGTGGGCTTCAAAGATATCGGGGAAAGAGTGATTGGGTTAGTGAGTATATCCATCGACATTGCCTTCGAATGTGTGTAATCTGTGTTTTAGGAAGAAACCCAATTCTTAGAAAGTCATTGTGATCTAAATGTGCTTTTGGAAAGTCCAAATAACGATAATCATGATTATGGTTACTAATTCAAACGAAGCAATTGTTAGTAATTTGCGCAATGTAATCCAACTTGCATTGCTCATAAGCTCTTGCACTCAAGTTCTATATTGTATCCAGGACACACCATTGCTGCTGCATTAACATATTTCCTGGCAACACTAGATTCACCAGCTAGCCAGCTGGATAGTGGATTTCTATGTAAAACTTGCAAAGGTTGCACTTGATAATTTGTCTATATTGGTGGTGCAACCGGATTTTGAATCTTCATTGAGTCTCTAAAGAATAAAGTTTGAAATGCTAATTCTTTAAGCTAAAGGACATGTCAAGCAAGCTTTAAAACTCTGACATCCCATGAAATGGCAGTTTACATTTTTGTATGATTGTGATTGTATGTTCATCGCTAGACACGCTCGTTGATATTCTTGCATATGTAGGAGTAGGACAATAATAACCTGAAGAATATTATGATGTGCAGAAGCATGATGGCCTGCTAAAAGAATTGTACTTTTCCCCTTCTGGCAGGTGAATGGTTTGGTTGCTGGTGCAGTAGCAGGGGGAGCCATTGCCGCTATGACACGAAGCTGGACGCAGGTGATTCCTATGGCTTGTCTGGTGTCTGCTTTCAAAGTTGCCACTGACTATGCTAGAGCAATTTGAAATACCTCCTGGTGGAAGACTGCGGAGGAGCGCATCTGAGAGGAGGTTGTTCTCCTCTCCTTACATCATGTACTTTCCTTTTCCATCCCCTGCTTAGATCCCTTTGTCTGTGTCACTAGCATTAGTTATGACTAAGCAAAGAAATGCTTTCTGTTATGTCTATAGGTTTAGCGTCTATGAACCAAGCGACTGTTGATTGACGATTCAATTCTTTTGTATGCCTTTCAGTTTTTGTTTGTTTTGTACACCAGTAGAGGGGATAATAAAGATTCAGTGTTGTTGCAGATGTTCCCTTTAATGCATACTTAATCGAGAATGAATGCCCTTCAACCGATAAACCCCTTCAGTCTTTGAATTCTGGGTGAAACTAAACCAGGTGAGCATTGTACATGCTGATACCCGAAAAACCAAAAAACACACACGAAAGAACAGGCAAATCTCTGTTTATAATTAGTCAACTTAGACATTACTGCAATATTATAGAGCTTTTATCTTCGTTTTTCTGTAAGTTTATTTGTGATTGCATAAGAGACGGAGTTTCTACTCCGCGTAGGTTCATACCATGTCAAAACCAAGTGCATAAAATAACTATTTACACTTGAACATTGCGTTTTCGTGCATCATTGATTCTGTTTGAGTTGGCTTCGATACGATTCTTGCTTGATATGTAAGTATTAACAAGAAGCAGATGATGTAGGTTGTAATTTGGTAATTAGGAACCAATGAGGGCCTAGGCTATTTATGTGAAAGATAATGAGTGACTATCTTCTACCTGTTAACCTAATTTTATGAAGAAAGCATGAGAAGTCAGTCTCTGGTTGAATGAATGAATACGAGGTCAATTGTTTAGGTGACGACTCAATAATTTGGTTCCTATTTTGGGTGTAGGGGTTATGCGGTTGGTGAAATATCAAAGTATTTATGAAAGATTATCAAATTTATTTTCAAGTATTTTTTCTCTTTTCATATTATACAAAGATATTTTAGGCCGATATTAGAAATAAGGTTTATTTTTAGCTATGTCTCTTGAAACTCGATTTTAATCTCATTTTGCTCCATGTAACTCAAAAATCGTCACTTTACTTTCTGAAACTCATAGTTTGCTCCACTTTGCATCTTGGAACTTGATTTTGATCTCATTTTGCTCCCTAAAACTTCAAAATCGTCTCAATAAAACTTTAAATTAGCTCCACAATGCCTTACTGTTAGTTTCTTGTGTGCGTTTAAGTTGGGTGTGCAGGCTAATTAATTTTTTTATCTCTTCAATTTTTTTTTTAACTTAATATTCTTTGATTGTTGGATGTTAACTCATGGAGATTTATAATCAAATTTATTGCATATGTAGCATAATCTTATTGGGTGTTGGATCCCACATATGTTTTAAGATGCGATTTATAAGTTTCAAGGAGAAGAGAAAGTATACAAGTCAAAGTGAAACGTATTTTGAGCTTTAAAAAATAAAATAATGACTTTTAAGTTATAGGACAAAATAAAATTAAAGTGCAGTTTAAGAGGGCGTAACTAAAAATACAAGGTGGGTAAAAAAGAGAAGAGTGGTGGGTGGACTTGTCGCCATTCAACATTAAACAGGGCACCCTAAAGTAGAAATGGTAGATGGTACCCTAAAGTCATTTCAAAGTCTTATCAGAATCTCTTGGTACCCTAAAGTAGATGGGAGCAGGATTCTCTACTATTCTCTACTCTCCTAATCTCTTTACCCTTCTATGATTTTCTATTTGAACGGTTACGGTTAAACCGCGTCAACATCTTATATTAATTTTTTTATAGAGATAATAAGACAAAAAACAATGTTTGAGAGGACGGGATGAAAGGAGATGGGAATAGGAGGGTAGAGAATCCTCCTCCTAAGTGGACAGGGTGCGGGAGAAGGATTATTTCCCCTCCTATTACCATCATCTTCCATCATCTCATGTCACACTCTTCTTTTTGTCTTATTCTCCATATAAAAAATTCAAAACAAGATGTAGATGTGGCGTAATCGCAACTGTTTAAATAGGAGGGGATAGAAGGGCAGAGAATCCTACTCTAAGTAGAAAATAGTGCCCTAAAAATTAAATGATGTTATAAATTTAAGTAGGCACAAAGCAACTATATCAAATGACTTTAAAAAGTTTGGTGCTTGGTTGGTGACACAAATAAATAAATAGGTATCAAAGCAAAATGCATATCACCTAAAAGTAAAAGATGGTGCTCCCGTATATACAACTATACAAATTATACATTTTTAAGGATTTTTTCTTTCTTTTTTCCGTGAACTTTACTATCAACTTTTTCACGGCTCGTGATGCACTAAACGTCGAAACACATAATTGTTACGACACTAATGCTTAGTTTTTTTTGTACAAACGACAATGGAGGATGCTCTGATCGTCGGGTTGGCGTGCGGTTGGAGGCATGGAATTGGGTGAATCTCGAAATACTGTTGCAGAGGCGGCGGCTGTCGAATTCTTGGTTCTGCCGGCGTTCTTGTGGTGTTTCTGTTTTGGGCCCACGTTGTGGGTTGGGCTTAGGTTTTGTTTGCTGGGCTGGTCCTTTTTGTTTGTATATGTACTTTTGTTTTTGGACCCTAGTTTGTTCAGGTTGTAAGTTTGTCTGTTTCTTGTGGTAATATAATTACCTTTTTTCCAAAAAAAAAAAAAAAAAAAAACGACAATGTAGGAAAGGACATTGTCCTTTTTGGGTCCAAATGAAGCGACAATGGAGGAAGTGACTTTGAGATTAACTATCAGTACATTATGTATAATTAGATATTAAACTCGTTCTATATGAGTAAAATTTGAAATCTTTTATTTTAAGAAACGCATTATTATTACATTAATGCACAAAACATCTTTATTGTATGCTACTGTATTATAAAGCCTTTAAACTATCTCCAACCCAGAATATCAAAAGAGGTGTATTCTGGGGGTGGAATAAACAAGATTTTGTGATTGTGGTGAGTATTTGGGTCTTGCGTCCACCTAGGGTGGATAAGATTTTGGGTGCAAGGGATCCGGAGATGATTTATTTCCGGAAAATGGGGCCATTATGGCAATGAATCCAGGTAAAAAAGGGGGATAGCAGGGCCTACGCATCAATTCCATTGACGCGGGCTAATCCAGTGTGGCGCGGCACACAATAGGACTAAAATAATGTGTGGATGTGATTTCTTAACAATTGCCACTCATCGGTTGTCGCTCCTCTTGGGTTATGATTCAATGAGCCTTGCCTCTTGGGTTACTTTTAAAATCCCTTGGCAAAAATACATTTTAATCAATTAACAATAATAAAAAAATTCAACAATTCAAATTTAAATTTAATAGCTAAAATAATATTATTAATTAATCTAAATTAGATCCAACGTAAAAAATTTATGAATACCCATCCATTTGTATGTAATCCATAAAATGTTCCACAGAAAATTTTTAGAATTTGAATTTTTTACATCAAAACAATCGTAAAATAAAAGAAGATAGATTATACAAAAACTAAGTCTAAGGTTGTTAGCATACAAAAAAATATTAAAGAAATACAAAAATTTAACAAAATATAAAGTTCGGGTGAGAATTATAGGTCATTAACCCTTGGAGGAAAAAAGTAACTAACTTCATACATAAAAACAAATAATTAAAAATGAATTGTTATTGACACTCTAAAAATCTCATTTTGCACTCCAAACTTTCTATAATTAGAAAGAAAAATACGTTTATGAGAAGCGTAGAATGAAATTTTTAGAGTGCTAATGATAGTTCTTAATTAAAAACTAGTATTTGCCCACGCACTTTGTGTGACATCCCACATCGCCCAGGGGTGATCCTTATATGTATATTCCCATCTCTACCTAGCACGAGGCCTTTTGGGAGCTCACTGGCTTCGGGTTCCATGGGAACTCCGAAGTTAAGCGAGTAGCACGCGAGAGCATTCCCAGGATGGGTGACCCATCGGGAAGTTCTCGTGTGAGTTCCCAGAAACAAAACCGTGAGGGCGTGCTGAGGGCCCAAAGCGGACAATATCGTGCTACGGTGGTGGAGCGGGCCCGGGAAGTGGTCCCCCCCGGGCCGGGATGTGACAATTTGGTATCAGAGCCTAACCCTGGTCGCGTGTGTGCCGACGAGGACGTCGGGCCCCTAAGGGGGGTGGATTGTGACATCCCACATCGCCCAGGGGTGATCCTTATATGTATATTCCCATCTCTACCTAGCACGAGGCCTTTTGGGAGCTCACTGGCTTCGGGTTCCATGGGAACTCCAAAGTTAAGCGAGTAGCGCGCGAGAGCATTCCCAGGATGGGTGACCTATCGGGAAGTTCTCGTGTGAGTTCCCAGAAACAAAACCGTGAGGGCGTGCTGAGGGCCCAAAGCGGACAATATCGTGCTACGGTGGTGGAGCGGGCCCGGGAAGTGGTCCCCCCGGGCCGGGATGTGACACTTTGTGTGTACGAACACATTTTTTTTAGAAAATGAGAAGAAGAGAGAAGGAGAGAAAGAGAGATAGAGAGAGAGAGAGAACGTGGAGGAAGTGAGAGGTTTTTTTTTTTTTTTTAAATTTTAAATATTAGGTGAGGCTTCAATAAAATATAGTAAAATTTGAACTTGTGAAATTACATTATTGCCCATCAATTTTTTTGTATAATAGAAGACTAAATTGTCTTTTCACCCTCTTTTGATTGACAAAGAAGGTTTCATTAATTAGTAGAGATATGAGGCTAAATTTTGTCGATTTTCCACCCAATAGTAGGAGATAGTCTCATGTATTTCCTTTTCTTTTCTTCATTTTTGGCAAAATGTACTAATTGGTCTCTTTACCACGCCAATCCACACTTTCTTTCATTTCATATATTTTGCAATTTGGGTTTTTCGGAAAAGAAATCACATTTCCAGATAAACACGTACCCACGGTCCCTCTGTCTTTCTCTCATCTCGTCTGTTTCAGAGTCTCCACTTTCTTCGCCATCTTCCTTCAGAATCTCTCCCTCTTTTGGCTAATATTATATTATAATTTATAACATTGCCGCTCATCAACCTTCTCTTTTTCCAAATTATCATCGTCACTACAGATCCACAGTTGGATAAAAAACATGGGATTCTGAGTCGTTTTCTTTTCTTTAAATTTGCTCTCTTGCGTGAACATGGAGGGAGAATATCAGGAAGTAAGTATATATACATATATTATACACATATATGTGTTTGCTTGAATTAGACAATGTTGATATATATAATATGTTTGTCTAGATGGTGTTTTCTCTAATTAATGGTGTTTATTTTGTTCCATGAGAGAAGGTTTACATAAGGAATTCAAGAGGAGTGCAGCTTTTTACTTGCAGATGGTTGCCCTTTTCATCTCCAAAGGCCCTTGTTTTTCTTTGCCATGGTACTATCTCTCTCTCTCTCTCCTCTCTTTTGTTCTTTCAAACTCGAGCAAATACACTGTTCTAACCAACTCGGCTACGTCCGAATATGCATCCCTGTTTGATGGGAGCATGTGTGGATATTAATCGGTGCTCATTATGGAGTTGCAGGGTACGGCATGGAGTGCAGCGGTTTCATGAGAGGTATTAAATATCATCTTAAATAACTCATCCTCCTCGTTTTCCATTCCTTCTTTCTTCTTTCTTAATCTCCATTACCATTACTTCTTTAATTAATCTGGCATTTAACTTTTAATTATAGTGTTAATTAAGACAGTAATTTCCCTTTCAACGGTAAAACGGGAAAGAAAGTTTTAAGGTAACTTTCACCTTTCTTCATCTCCACCTTTTTCTGCATGAAAGGTAAATCTAGTGGATGCAGAGACCCTAAAATTAGGTAAATCAATCCACGAGGCAATGATTTTCAAGCCAACCGATGGGTTTTTTTTTCTTCTAGGAAAGTGATTTTTACAATTTTCTTCTCTCAATGTACTCTCTTATTTTCTAGATTTTGAATTGAATAGATCAAACGCGAATAAAAAAGTATTAATACACGGATATAAGTATAGAACGAGAAAACGAGAGTGAAAATCACTATCTTTTAGCAGTAATTTGCCTCTCAAAAAGGGCATATGTCTAGGCGGTTATGTTATCGAATCAAAAGATGATAATATCTTTTGGGAAATAGGGAAAGAGATTAAAGAAATTCTCTCAAAAGTAAAACTCATTATGATTTCTTTGTAATTTTATGTTTTTAGCATAATATTTTATAATATTGATACGAAAACTATTGTTAAACTGTAAAGTAGCTGAGAGTTCATGAAAAATTTCACTTTAAGAGTCTCTCCTTGCCATTTCTCATAGAGAAATAGGCGCATGTGAATTCTGATGATATTGCTCTCTCATATGCCATTCCTGCTCTGCATTTGTTACGATTCACAAAGGAGACACAGGAATTAGAAAAGAAACAAAGCGCGGATAAGCTTAAATCATTGCCAAACATGTGTGTTGCACCGTGGGATTATTATTGCCCATACTCTTCGTATTCCCTATGCCTACTGCACTGAATGACTGCTGCCATTCTGGTTCAATGTTCAATTATTTGAGGCACAACCCGCGACGTGTGTTGTGTGTGTGTGTGTGTGTGTTTTTTTTTTGTCAAACGAAAAGTTTTGTTAGACTAATCATCGACGGAATTTAAACTCACGTCGTCATATAAGAACTTAAATTAGAAAGAAATCCGCTTTTATGAACAGTAAATGGTGGAGCATGATAGATAGTGTCCTCATATTCATCTATTTGAGATAAAATGTTGAATTTTAAATAGTTTCTACGTAGACACGAAACAATGAGTACCAGGACACTATATTACAGAGTAGAATTCTCTCATTTCTTTTTTTCTCTTTCCTTTCCTTTCCTTCTATTTGAACGATCACAGTTAAGTCACGTCAATATTTGTATTAATTTATGAAAGGACATGAAAAGAGGAAGGGAGAGAAACCTAATTTCTATATTACTTCGATTTTTATGAACAGGGAAGCGAGTTTCTAGCTAAGCTACATGTATCCCATCGAATCTTTATAACTGGCATTTAGTAGGTCAGTTGGAAAAAGGATCCTCGCTGGATCATTTTCTTGAGAATCCTAAAAATCGCGTGATCGTTACCGTTTATCATATATTGTGCGGTCATAAATTATTTCAAAATTTAAAATTTAAAATTAAATATAAATAATATCTAACGAAAACTAACCGCACGATGTATGATGAACGGTCAACATCACGGCGGATCCTTTTCCGGTCAGTTGCCCTTGCGTGCAGTCTTTAATGCTAATTAATAAGCAATGAAAACGTCCTATCTACTTTAGACTTTATCTTAAATAATTGCCCTAATCTTTGACTACCGTTTTTTAGATAAAGATCCTTGCAGAATTCTTTTCGAATCTTATTTTTTTATGTTTTTTCTGGAATCCTATAATAGTGATTATTTATAGTATATTGTGTAATCAATTTTCGTTAAATATTATTTATATTTAATTTTAAAATAATTTCTAATCGCATGATATAAGATGAATGATCACAATCATAGGACTTCAAAGAAAATAAACGCAAATTTTTCTCAAGACATTTTCGGCATTTAATTTGCTATTTGAAAATTATAATGTGAGGTGTGCTTTTTCCTTTCAAATTTATTATTTTGGGCCATCATTGACAGCAACCCTCCATCGGCATTTTCAACTGCCATGTCGTATGGACGAGGTACCAAATGAAAACGAAATTTTTGGTCAACCGGGTTTGTTTTGGTTTGGTTTGAATTTGGTTGGCAGACAAATTTTGGACCGTAGGGTCTGTAGTTTATAAATATTGATATGACTTAATTACTTTTTGATTTTGGGGTTAACCATTAATTGATAAATTAATTCGATGTGCTATGGTCATGTACATAGAGTGTGGGATTATCCTAGCTAACGCGGGCTATGCCGTGTTTGGAATCGACTACGAGGGCCATGGACGTTCGAAAGGGGTTAGATGTTACATCAAGAAGTTCGAAAACATTGTCAACGATTGCAATGAATTCTTCAAATCAATTTGTGGTACGTATCCAATTCAATTACGAAGTTTTTAAGTGTGACGATACAAAGTTATTTTAGTTTTAATGAAAGCAATTTTAAAATGGTATCGCAGCGGAGGAGGAGTACCGGGACAAATGTAGATTTTTGTATGGAGAATCCATGGGAGGGGCAGTTTCCCTGTTGCTTCACAAGAAGGATCCTACATTTTGGAATGGTGCTGTTCTTGTTGCACCCATGTGTAAGGTAATAGTAACACACATTACATTTTACGTTTGGTTATTTCGCGTGTAAGTTTTGCTCGCCCAATCCGACCATCGGGCTGAAGTTTTGCTCACAATTTGCGAGTAATATTTTGGTAGATATCAGAAAAGGTCAAGCCACACCAGCTGGTGATCAATGTATTAACCAGAGCGGAGGGGATTATTCCCAAATGGAAGATAGTACCCACCAAGGACGTCATAGACTCCGCCTTCAAAGATCCTGTAAAGCGCGAAAAGGTGACAATTAACTCTACTTTAAATTTTGTACCAATACGAAGACGTTCCTTCTACGAGTCCGTCTAATTTACCTAACAGAAGTTGAACAATTCTCTCGGATTTGTACAATTTGCAAAACTCAATACCAATTTTGATGCAATCAAAAATACAGGAACGAAAGTGAATCTTTTGCGAAAGCTGCTGGAACTAAATAACCTCAAACTTGTAACTTTTTTTTCGAAATGTTAGATAGAAATGGATCGAGTTTAAATGTTTAGATGGTGTCCCCTTCAGATAAGGAGCAACAAACTGATATATCAAGACAAGCCAAGGCTTAAAACAGCACTGGAAATGCTGAGAACTAGCATGACCCTTGAAGACACTTTGCATGAGGTATTTTCTTGCTACCATTTTATTCAATATATTTTGACCGACGCACTATGCTGGCCAACTGGTCTAACTTTCGTTTGCCTAGTTGATTCAGTAATAATGCTAGACTGCTTAGATTGCTAATTGACGTGATTAGCGTTGATTTTCGGGATTCATTTGGGCAGGTGAGGCTACCATTCTTCGTGTTGCATGGGGAGGCAGATACAGTTACAGACCCAGAAGTGAGCAGATCACTGTATGAGAAAGCCAGCAGCACAGACAAGACCATAAAACTGTACCCTGGAATGTGGCACGGCCTAACGTCGGGAGAGCCCGATGGGAACGTGGAAGTCGTCTTTGCAGACATCATAACTTGGCTCGAGAAGCACACGAATGATGACAACTCCGTCGTGGTGCAACCAATCCACACGTTTAAGAATGGCATTCTGAAAATGAACGGCACGGCATCTCCACCATCCCAGACACCAAAAAAAAAGCAGCGACCGCGGACGCCATCGTATTTTTGTGGGTTGAGAGGGCGCAGATTGCTACATCACTCGCCAGTGTAGCCCTAGCTCTTAAATGTTGCCCCTTTTATTCACGGTCTCAAAATTACGGTGTTTCCATTAGAGATGTTTCATGGACCTCTCCATAACAATTTATCTCCGAATATCAGATGCACTTAACTAATGAGTATCGTACTTTTAGAAAAATGATTTCCACACATCTCTGTTTATTTCTCCTGATCCTCCGTTAATGTCTTCGATGTGAAGTCCAAAAATCAAAAGAGGTACAAAGGGGAAGAAAAAGGTCTTTCACTATTGTAACCTGATATGGTTTTACCCAAAACGAGTTCGCTGCCAAACGTAGCAGCACCATCTGCTAAAAACTCTCCCTTTTAATACATTTACCTCGCCAAACCTGGGGCTTTTTGTGCATACAAGCATCTTTGTTTGAATGTTGATATGTAACTAATGAAATGGATCAATAATTTGGAGAAGCTAATTCAGAATACAAGAAGTAAATATCATGAAAATTTATGTAATCTTATCAATGCCGCCTCTAATGGAGACCGGTGGCACAGAAAAGAATAGGAAGACGGAAAAGAGAAGCTCTCGCTGTTCTATTAAGCTTTAAGACGATAACAACACAGAACGAACAAAAGGACATACAAACGGGTGCTGGAACTTATACGCTACTGTTTTTGCTACTACTGCAGCTGCGAGATCTTTGCTGCTGTATTTCGTCTGGGAATTGGACGGGAAAGAAAGAACGAAAGAAAGGAACTGTCTTTCCCCGTTGCCGGTTTGCAAGTGAGAATTCAAGTATATTTTCCAATTGCCATGCCAAGACATTAACATCGGGAGATATATTACAGGGCGGTGGTAGCGCCACCTTCCTTGTGGTCACCGAAGATGCGTTTCCTGAAGTCAGAGACCATGAGAGGGAGACCCTTTTGAAGGGACACCTTTGGTTGCCAGCCGAGTAAGTCTTTAGCCTTTGTGATATCAGGTTTCCTCTTGTGGGGGTCATCCTCTGTGTTCGGCCTATACTCGATCTTTGCTGCTGGGTCGATTGTTTCTTGCACCACCTGCAAGCACCAACCAACAAACAAGCAAAAAATACAAAATAAGTGATGAACCAGAAAATTATTAAGCTGCGACATTCGATTAGGGATGTCATCTGATCTTAATTTTACCTTTGCAAGTTCGAGCATGGTGAATTCACCCGGGTTTCCGAGATTGAAGGGTCCCACATGTTCACCTTCCATCAGACGCATCAGACCTTCCACCTGTTGTGGGTTGCGATACACAAACGGCAGTGTCATATTACTTTTCAGCATCAGCAACAAGCAGTACTAAACCAGAAAATCACTTATGTGTGGAAGTAACTTCTTTCTGCTTCCCAGCATAACAGATAAAAGCACACCCCAAATGCCCAACTACGAAGTATTCTATCCCAAATCACTTGCATGTAAGAAAATCTCACTTGCAAGAAAGTCTACCAGAAATTGTCCTGCCACTATGCCTACTACTAAAACAGATCGCCACCAGGCGCCAGATACCCTAAATTGGACTGTTTACTTCCTCCAATATATTTATAAAAATTTCAAAAGAAACATCGCAAAAGACACGAACATCCTGCTTTTCTGAGGTTTACTAGTTTTGATTCTGAAAAATTCGTATTACTCCTCCGAGCAAACAACGATGGTGCAAAAACACAAACAAGTCAACCCAGACTTACCAACATAAGATGCAATTAACAAATGCATGTTGATGATTACTCTCATACGAAAAAACTGATCGAAATGCAAAACATTGACTAATTTTGCTTAGATCAGAGCTGAAGTGCGCAGCATGTGCACAAAAGCATCAATTATATTTATCTAATCTGCACAAATTTTAATTCACAAACCGATTTCAAATGCTTTGTATGATGCACATGGGCAACATAATGTTCACTAATAACTTTTAATCACCTTCTTAGTCTCTAATCTTGCATTATAAAATTTTCACATGGCTCGATACTATAAACTCTAAAAAGAAGCAATTTGGAGTATTAAACTGCCAGGCTAAGCACAACGCAACAAAGCAAACATAAACAACACCGACTTCTTAATATATGGTATTGAAGTAGACTCACTCACCAGATCAGAAACATATTGGAAACTCCTTGTTTGCTTCCCGTCACCATAAACCGTCATCGGTTCTTTCCTCAACGCCTGCATTATTGCCACCATCCCGCATTTAGCATTAAAACAAACAGCTCACTGTTTCAACGAAAGATAATCAAATATACAAGCAATTTACCTGAGCAACAAAGTTACTAACAACACGGCCGTCATCTATGCACATTCTTGGCCCGTATGTGTTAAAAATCCTAGCAATCCTAACCTGCAATGACATACCAAATTGCAAACAAAAATCATTACATCTAAGATTTTGGATAAAAATAAGTTCGAATGTCTCTAGACCCCCTTTATAAAATGTGATTACTAATTTTGATACATGCAGTTTAAAATATTGATATAGGCGGAAATATCAATGGATATTGATATCCATATAATTACCTTTTATGGAAATTTGCAACAGGTGGGTGTATCAACTCATTCAAATTTAGTCGAACATTTCTCATTCAAAATTCAATAGTTCGAAATTTGCAATGAGTTTAGGCAAAACTTTTGTAGTGAATCATTAAATATTGTCGACATTTATTGATTTTTCTTATCTATATGGGGTGAAGCTTGCATTTCATCCCCTTCCATATTAATTCTTAATTTTTTGAATTTTTCAACGAAAATATCAATAATTTGGTTGATATGTAGAACAAATGAACATTAGATCCATCCATGTGACGTTAGTAAAACATTTAAACTTTGCATCTATAAACGTGGGAACCAGATCCCCTCCGGATCCAAATGAACGAAGCCCATGGATCAAATGATCCGAATTATTGAAATTTGATTAAACGGCTACAATTATTACAACTTTTAAAGGATCCTCTGTTTGTCGTCGTTAGATCAAATTTCAATGGTCCGAATCATTTAATGAGTGAACTCAATTCCTTTGGATCCGAAAGAGATCGGGTTCCATAAATGTGAAGGGTAAATGTGAAACACGCAAATTTACCATACCTCAACTCCAGCTCCTCTGTGGTAGTCCATGGTCAATGTCTCGGCCGTACGTTTTCCCTCGTCGTAACAACTTCGGACACCTGTCAGCCATTCAGACAGCCAACTACCTTGTCAGGTAACGGACCAATAACTCTGTACACCCTGTCAGATCTAGACCTACTCTAAACCTAATAACGCCTGTCGATTTTACATTCCTGCCCTCCCCTAATTACTTATTTTACGGCCAATCACCATTGGTCATGGCGGAGACGTGGAGAAAACACTAATCCCCACCGTCCGATGAGTGGACCCGCAAATCACGGGTATCTCGTTCACCGTGGAAATCGACCGAATCTAAGGAACGTTTGGCCACGTGGGCCCAACCCTCATTGTCCAACGTGCACTAGACTCCGTAACTTGTTTCAAATCAAAGACACGGACACCCCGACGCCCGTCCCGCGCAGTTTAGACTAAACGCACATCTTGCCGCTAACATACGCCGTAACGACAGGTAGAAACGGCTAAAGAAACGGAGATAGAAATGATGTTCGGAAACTCACCGATTGGATTAACGTTGCCCCAGTAGGTTTCAACCTGCGGGTGCTGCAGAGGATCGCCGTACACCTCGCTGGTGCTCGTCAGCAAGAACCGCGCGCCGATCCTCTTTGCGAGACCCAGCATGTTTAGAGTCCCCACCACATTGGTTTTGTGCATCTCCAAAGATTCAAAATTAAGGCTTCCAAAAAAATTTACAACAACAATTGGAACTAAAACGTTATGCAGACATGAGTTAGGCCAATTAGACTTGACAATGTTACCGATCGGGCAATTGTCTGGCGGTCATTCTGCCACGATGACCGCATTGGCCAATTGGTCAGGCGGGGTCACTCTTGTCAAGCCCAACTGAAGAGATGATGTAACCGCCTGACCAACTGACAAAGACACTGTTCTGTACCCTGGCCAATTAACCAAGGAGTGTTACCACCTGACCAATTATCCGACCGCCTTAGTCAATTGGCCTCAACAGCAAGTCGGTCATGACCGCTGGACTAATTGATTGGTCAGGACTCTGCAACTACTTAAATGTTAAATGAATTTAAAAAAAATGACAAGACATTGTAGTAGGAAAGGATATAATGGTCTTGACAGGGTTGAATTTGTAATGAACAGGGGAGGCAGGGCAAGCGAGATGGTAGATCTGGTCGACCTCGAGCAGAAGCGGCTCAACGACGTCGTGCCGGATGAGCTCAAACCTCGGGTTTCCGAAATGGTGCATCACATTCTCCTTCCTTCCGGTGAAGAAATTGTCCACAACGATCACGCTGTCGCCTCGCTCAATCAGACGGTCCACAAGATGCGATCCGACGAACCCGGCCCCGCCAGTCACGACGATCCGGAGCCCCTTTCGTTTCAGCCCCAGGGGCACCTTGCCGCCAGAATTCCAGCTGTTCAACCCGAACCGTCGGTCGTAGGCCGGCTTGTAATGGGCCGTCGCCGACGAATCGAAGTCGTACCGGACGTACTCGTTCGAGATCGGGACGTTACCGGTGGCGTACGGAGAAATAGGGGCGGAGGACGGGAGGAGGGTGAACACTACGGTGGCGATAGCAATGCCCACAAGGATGAAAACGAGGCGCTGCTCTCGGAGCAAGTACTGAATCGGGCGGGTCACGGAGGCCCACGGCTTCGGAGGTTTGGGCGAATAGGTGTCCGCCACCTGTTGGTCCGCTTCGTGCCCTCGGAAAATCAGCCCCGAACCCATTTGTCGGAACTGCGTCGGAAGAGGAAGAGTGAGTTTTGAGAATCTGAGTTAAACGAGTTGGAATCGCCGGCAACTCGCTTTGTGCCGGGTTTTTGTGATGCAGTCTCACTCGTGTGTGCGCCGAGGGTATTTAAGCTGTGAGGGGGTGGGAAATAGGGTCTGGCTTTTGGCGGTATTTACAAAACGGCACTTGGCTCCTTTTTCTGTTTGAAAAGGAAACGGTTGTCATTTGGTGTGATTTTTATGGGAAAGGATTTCACTGGTTTGTCATTTTTTTTTTTTTTCAAATAATTACGTTAGTGTATTAAATTGGTAATTGATTGGTGAAAAATATCAAGGGATATTGAATCCGCATTAGGATACATATTTATTACAATTTTTTTGTTAATGCGATAAAGCGTCGTTTACGTTTGTCATGCAATAGAATAGTTTATTGATATTTTTCTTCAACTTTAACAGAGTTTTAAAATTTGAATTACAAAATAATGAATTTCAATACTAATTTATGATATCAAACTTCGTTTTGTATTTTAATCCAAATTCTCCACTCTTAATGCAAATATATTGTTGTATTAAAGATGTTTATTTTTAATAGTTGGGTGATTTGGTTGGCTTTGGATTTGGTTAATGTATTTCGATTTTTTCATTGATTAATTAACTAATTGTAATTAATAACCATCATAGAGTGGTTTAATGGTTGTGGACGAATTTCAAACTCGTATTTCACACAGCACGTCCTGAATTCGATTCATGACACAAGTAAATCGCACAATGATAAATGGGGAAGGCTGAAATATCTCTGTGAGTCTTTCCGACTCTCAAAAAAGTAGAGTGTCGTAGCAAAGTCACAAGCTGATTAAAAAAAAAAAAAACAAATTGTAATTAATGGTTTAACAATTTGACATTGGTGGTCACTCGCTTTAACTTAAGAGATTTTTTAGTGTGACCAGTACACAGGGATGGTACACCATATATCACTATACAAATGATGAGATATGTGTGCTAACAAGTAATAACTTAAAAAATAAAATTTATCATCATTCCTATTAAGACAAGTAATATACCATTTATATTTTCATCACAATTAAAAATTTCTATTTAACTTGGGGGGTGGTGGGTGGGGAGACTCAGGGGATATTATTAATTATTCAGTTAGATATTCAGTTGACATGATTGAAGGTGCACTCCGTATCATTCCCCAACACCCGTGTTTACCATGAAATTTTGATTTGTTTTATGCCATGCACTGAACAAATAAGAAATCGTTAGATATACATTTAAGAGTGTAATTGCTAAAGATTTCAGTATATAATTATACATGTACATACTTTAGTATTCTAAATCGATGAGGTTAAAACTCAAGTTCACTAAGGTTACAAAATGGAGTGGGCGCTAGTGGATCCATACATAAGTCGGACGTGCAATTATACGTAATTATTGTTGGATCAAGATGCTTAATAAAATATTTTAAAGATATTAAAGCAGAGCGAGTAACTTAAAAGAAACTAGCCAAAGTGGAGTCGCGGGTTTCATCTTGCCCAGAAACGAAAAAAAAAAAAAACACCTAGATCGGTTGATGGGAGGCAAATGTAGTCTCAATTATTCAAGGAAAGTAGAAAGTACACATTACATTTCACACCAAGACTTCAATGATTTATCCATGTATGTTTGTTTGTGGCAAAAACAGCATTATAAAGCAGTTATGGATTTTAATTCAAGAGTTTTACCCAGAATCATGACCAAAAAGTATACAATTAGGGAAAAGAATTCTCGCCAGATCTTATTTCTGTGGATTCTAGAGATCTTGCGATCGAGACTGTTCATCGTACATAGTGCGGTCAGAAATCATTTCAAAATTTAAAATTTAAAATTAAATATAGATAGTACCTACCGAAAACTGATCGCATAATGTACGATAAACGGTCACGATCACAGAATCTATAGATCCCTAAAAAAAGGTTCTGGCGGAGATTCCCTTCCTACAATTAGTGCCACTAAATAGTGATTAGATATTGTTTTGGAGCAGGACTCACCATAAAGAATTTTTCTCATAAATTAATTATTCACAATTCAGAGTCTTAAAACCAATGTTAATGTTTATTTATTTTTCTAATATACAAACGACATTGAGGAAAGGAGATTCGAAGTCAAAACGTTATATGCAAAGAAATGTTGTTAAACAGTTAAGCTATAAATTTCTTCGATAAAAATGGATGTTAAAACTTATGGCAAGTACTGTAGAATCTCTAGTTCCAAAAAGGAAATCATTTTCACACTTTTTTAACCTCTTACACATTCATATTTAATCATGTTTGTTGTTTTCGTTTGACTTAACTAATCCAATGACCAAAAATTAAAGTAAACATGTGAAATCACAACTTCCATTCCCTTTCATGGAATGAAACGGACTCAGAGACTCGAATGGTTCAACAAAGAGAGAAAGAGATTCGGGCATTTCAAGTTTTTGAATTTTTGTGAAGTGAGCCAATGGTATGAGCTAATAAAAGCCCTAGACAGGAAATTAAGTGGTCTGGAACACTCGATTTATGGGTTGCAGACACAAAAGTGGGAAGTGAATCTCAACCTCCCTTCCAAAACTAAACTAAAAAAAAGTTTGTGGTGTGGTCTTGCTGGCGACTTGAGTTGTGTGCACAAACTGGAAACATGATTAAAAAATTAACAAACTGCAGATTAACCAAACGTATTAAAGATTAAGGACCTCAGCAGTGCGGATTAATTAGTTTTTTATAAAACTGGTGCAATCTGGAGGACAGATGTTCATCTTGTATTTGGAGATTCAGAAATCACAAGGGAATGCGCATGTTAGTACATACTTACAAGCCGCAGAAAATGCATTCTTCTACTTCTTTGTATTTTTCATTTTATTTTTTTATTTTTCTAGTTTTCTATATCTGCAGGCTACATGTCACGCATCAACTTTTAGATCCATGGATTATAGAATATAAACACGCAACTGATACACATTCCATGTGCCTATTATCATATTGATGCAACTGATCACATTGCTATATAAAATATTTGGTACAAGCTATCGTTTACTTCAAATTAATCGAAACTATCGGTCTGTAGGAAAATATTGTGGTACGCGTGAAAAGCCAACATAATTATTTGAGTTGAAGGTCTGTTTGAAATTGCTATTAAAATGAACCAAATCACGTTCTAAAAGGGTTGGTTAGAAAAATTTTAAAATATCTTTTGGGTTATAAAATTAGTTTTCTAAGATAACACAACGAAAGCAGTGGTAAAGTTGGGATTGTTCAACGATAAAACCCTAAACAAAGATACAAGGCAACCTCAAGTTTATTTGATAATAAAAATTAAAAAGTATGATTACAACTCCAAAAGTTGTTTAAACACTCCTATCAAACCCTACTTCCTAAAGAAAAATAAGGCTCGAGCCTCATAGGGAAGAACTTTGAGATTTCGTCCAAACTGCTTCTTCCTCGGCCTATGCTTGTCAAACTGCTCCATAAATTTATCCGCTAACCATTTTACGTCAGGAGAATCACCTGCTAAATGTTTATTTATAAAAAATTGATGGTAGATTTCAAATTTCCACTAGTTGAGTTGACATAAAGAGACATATAGATAGAAAACAAAGGTCTCTATTGTTGCACATAAATTGTTTTTATTCACTACATTGAGAGATTTTGGTTGAGCCTTTTTTGTGTTTTACATAAATGAAATCTTGGCAAACTAACATAAACTTATAGAATACTTTTGACCAAGTTGGAATTTTAAATCGACCACATAACTGAATTGCTTTAATATTTTTTGGTAATTTACATAAAAGTCCAAGTTGTTGCTTTTTTCTACCCAACTTTTCGGTCTTACGAATATGTTGGCCTTTAAATGGATGATTGCCCTTCTCCGACCCTTATTGCCCAACCTAAAAATGAGTAGCTAATGTGGTCCACTTATTGAACGGGGTTCTTTTAGGCACTGTGTGACCAATTTTAGCTTTCAAAAGTAGGTAGATAAAAGTCTTACTTTTGAATCTCTCAAGCAATATTAAGAGCATATCATCCTTAGGCTTTAGCAAATAAATTGTAAAGAATAAGAATTAGGTCACAATGAACTAATTGAGTACATGTGACCCTAAAGAAAGAGGATGCCACCTCAAAAGGTCAACAAATGACCTAACCCTACAATTAAAGGCAATTTGTTGAGACTTGGAGTCATTTGGACGCTTCATTTACCCTCACATCCACCATACATATAATACTTAATATTTGGTTCCACCGTCTAAGTTAATTTATACTTAACATGATCAAGTACTTGACAAAATCTTGAGTATAACCAGTGTGATATATTTTTGTGTTTCTCACTCTCATCATATGAATCTATCCATGGATTCGTACCCTATTTGTCACATCCCGGTCCGGGTCGAATCACTTTCCGAGTCCGATCCACCACCGTAGCACGATATTGTCCGCTTTGGGCTTACCATTCCCTCACGGTTTTGTTTTTGGGAACTCATGAGCAACTTCCCAGTAGGTCACCCATCCTGGGATTGCTCTAGCCCTCTACTCGCTTAACTTCGGAGTTCCTACGGAACCCGAAGCCAGTGAGCTCCCAAAAGGCCTCGTGCTAGGTAGGGATGAGAATATACATTTAAGGATCATTCCCCTAGGCGATGTGGGATGTTACAATCCACCCCCCTTAGGGGCCCGACGTCCTCGTCGGCACACATGCGACCAGGGTTAGGCTCTGATACCAAATGTCACATCCCGGCCCGTGTCGAATCACTTCCCGGGCCCGATCCACCACCATAGCACGATATTGTCCGCTTTAGGCTTACCATTCCCTCACGGTTTTGTTTTTGGGAACTCACGAGCAACTTCCCAGTGGGTCACCCATCATGGGATTGCTCTCGAGCGCTTCTACTCGCTTAACTTCGGAGTTCCTACGGAACCCGAAGCCAGTGAGCTCCCAAAAGGCCTCGTGCTAGGTAGGGATGAAAATATACATTTAAGGATCATTCCCCTAGGTGATGTGGGATGTTACACTATTCTTTTGATTTTTACGTTTTTCATTTTTTAGGTTTCGTTGTTAA